TCTCAAGCACGACGTTAAACCCACTTTCACCTCACCTCACATCACCTCATTTCATCCCGAAATGGGGCGGTGGGATAGCCTAATGGTTAAAACGTTGGCTCGTCACGCCGAAGACCCGGGTTCGAATCCCCACATGGGCACAATCTGTGAAGCCCATTTCTGGTGTCCCCCGCCGTGATGCTGCTGGAATATTGCTAAAAGCGGCGTAAAACCAAACTCAGTCAGTCATCCCGAAATACTGTTTCCAACACATGTACACTGCGATAAACATGCGTATGAATACGATTGCCATGTGCTATTGCACTGTGAGAAACTTCTGCAAAGCAGAAACAGATTTCTTTCTTAGCTAATAGATGAACGAGATGTTGAAACCTATGTCAATGTTGAATTGCTGGACGAACACGACATGTTGTCGTTCCTGTTTGGAGGTGATACTTACCTGATTGAATGCATAGAGATTCAAACCTGGACTGACATTATAATCGCATTTGCATCGAATGTGTATTTCATCAGACAACCTCTGTTGCCTTGTTATGATTGATATGTTACACGTACAACTCACTTTATTTGTACAAATGTATATTGTTTTCTTTACTGCCATGCTTGTTTGTAGATCAATTGAATGATAATATCTCCCCCTCTCTCTCTCTCTCTCTCTCTCTCTCTCTCTCTCTCTCTCTCTCTCTCTCTCTCTCTCTCTCTCTCTCTCTCTCTCTCTCTCGCGTTATTAATGACAATTCAAGCTGTTGGGAACACTATTTCTTAAAAGTTATAAAATGTTCGTTTTTGATTGGAATACGTACAACTGAACGTGTTACAAACTTTCTTAACAGTATGGACAAACACATCAGGCCGTTTTAAATGTCTTTATTAATTCTTTAACGTCCGATGTATTCCGTTACAAATGCCATTTTTCTTACTCAAATGTATCAATATGGAAATCCACCTGCCACTTAATGTCAATGACTGGCACGTGCAGGTAGTTCTATCGATGGAAAGTACAGGACAAAACACATGCAATGATGCTTTTCACTGTCGTTCACTGTTGAGGTACCGGTTGAAATCGCAGCTTAAAATGAGACGGGTTTTTTTACACTTGCTGAAAGTGGTCAGAATATAGACCTTTCGGAATCTGGTCAAACTCAATGGCAGGTTTTTGTCCCCTTTAATGTGAGTCACAGTGCTATTGGTAGACTGTGGCAGAAAATTCAAGCCAATGGGTCCGTGGAATATGCACGTCGATCAAGTCGCCCCAGTCCGAGATGAAAGGCACATGAATAACACTGTGTTACGTAACAGATTTCGTAATCCAGCAGATCTTCAGACAGAACACTTCTATGTGAACAATGTAAGGATATCCAGGAGCAAAGTCCGTCGACGTTCAAGGGCAGCCTTATCTAGACGAGATTCTGGATCCGATAGCAGTACCATTCCTGCAAGCTATGAATGGCTGTTGTGGTCGACCCTCTTTACTGCAAAACGACAACGCTGGGCCTCACAGGTCCACGGAATTCATGAGGCAGCAGGGTATAGAGCGGATGGTGTGGCCACACGTCTTCGTTATGAACTTGATAAGGAGCATAAGACCAAGGTGCACCTTTGTCTTGGACCCACGAGGAGGGTACACAAGATATTGAATGAATCAGAGCTTCATGTTTGTCATTTCCATTTAGTAGGGCTGGTCTATACAACTGATGTTTGCTAGTGCTGTTTGAACGTTTTATCTGTATGTCACGATGTGTCACGTTTGTCAACATATTAAACATTGTGATGATACTCTTAGTTCTATTATTTCTGAGAAACTTTTTTTACATATATATCACTTGATCCTTTATTAATCACGCCTAGTATACATCGTCATATTGACAGTACAAAGAACGTAGAAAAAGATTATTTTGCCTCGTGTATAGTTTTTCAGTAAGGATAATGACATTAACGGTCAGAGATTCAAATACACGCACCTGCGTTTGTTCACATAACTGCCCCTTTGGGTTCAACTGAACGTATTTCTGACGATCTTGCGGACTTGTTTTGGAGATTGTGCGTGCGCTTTCCAACATATTTGGGAAATATATAAATCGCTACGAGTTTCAAAACAATAATATTATATCTCAGCGGCAGGTAGCAAATGAACTTTAATCTTAACATTGAGTTTATATTTCAAATCTCCGGAGATATTTCAGTCTGATTTCTGGCAGGTCATTCATATTTTATGCAGAGTATTCATTTTCAATTTCCATCTGGGGTATGGCATTAAGGTTACACGAAAGTACAATTTGAAAAATGTATTGACAGTATCTGCTTTGGTATTTAATGAAGTATCCTTACAGCCTTCTAGAGCTCAGTAAAGGCGATTTGTTATTGAGGAATAGAGGACGGTGCAGGAGATCTGTCACTGTATCCAGTATTGAGAAGCGTGAAGGAGATCTGGTAGTGCACCAAGTATGGGGGAACGTGTAGGAGATCTGGTACTGCATTCACTATTCACTACGGAGGTTAATATATGAGATATTCTACTGCATCCAGTATGGAGGAACGTGTATGGGATCTGGATACTGCATTCAATACGGGGGCTAATGTAGAACATATTGTAGTGCATCCAGTAAGGAGGAATGTGTAGGAGATCTGGTACTGCATTCACTGCGGAGGTTAATGTAGGAGATATTGTACTATATCCAGTATGGAGGAACGTGTAGGAGATCTGGTACTGCATTCACTGCGGATGTTAATGTAGGAGATCTGGTACTGCATCCAGTATGGAGGAACGTGTAGGAGATCTGGTACTGCATTCACTGCGGAGGTTAATGTAGGAGATATTGTACTGCATCCAGTATGGAGGAACGTGTAGGAGATCTGGTACTGCATTCACTGCGGAGGTTAATGTAGGAGATCTGGTACTGCATCCAGTATGGAGGAAAGTGAAGCAGATCTGGTTCTGCATCCAGTATGGAGGAAAGTGAAGCAGATCTGGGACAGCACCCACTGTCGCGGAACGTGTCAGAGATCTGGTACTGCATCAGGTATGGAGGAACGTGTAGTGGATCTGGGACAACACCAACTATGGCGGAACGTGTCAGAGATCTGGTACTGCATCAGGTATGGAGGAACGTGTATGAGATGTGGTACTGCATTCATGATCACTACAGAGGTTGCTGTGGAAGATCTGGTACTGCATCCAGTATGTAGGAAAGTGAAGCAGATCTGGTTCTGCATCCAGTATGGAGGAAAGTGAAGCAGATCTAGTACTGCATCCAGTATGGAGGAAAGTGAAGCAGATCTGGTACTGCATCCAGTATGGAGGAAAGTGAAGCAGATCTGGCACTGCATCCAGTATGGAGGAAAGTGAAGCAGATCTAGTACTGCATCCAGTATGGAGGAAAGTGAAGCAGATCTAGTACTGCATCCAGTATGGAGGAGAGTGAAGCAGATCTGGTACTGCTTCCAGTATGGAGGAAAGTGAAGCAGATCTGGTTCTGCATCCAATATGGAAGAGAGAGAGTGAGTGAGTTATTATTTTCAGTCACACAGGTATGGAGGAAGGTGTGAAGCTGAAGAAGAATTTAAAGTAGTCCAACTCTCTCCATTATGATGAATGATTAAGTTTAATGAGTATTAGACAGTTGTTCTGTTTTATCACCTCGTGGCACCTTTATGTGGACGAATAACCAGTGCGACCATGCTTTTAACATTCCTTAAGATACATATTTGTGTCTGTAAACATGAAACAGGCAGTTTGATGAGGTTAAACTTACTTGTGTATTTGACATTATCTTTTGGTGAAACTGATTAACTGAGTCTTGGTTGTCTAAGCATTTATGCAGAAGGCGCTTGAATATCAACGCTGACATTAAGTTGCCTGAAAACAAACGAAGTACTTGAGACAACAAATGTGTTCCCCTTAGTCGCGAATCGTTGTAACATGTGAATGTAAACATGATGATAGGCATTGTACTACCACAAGAAACCATGGTTACTTATCGTGATGGTCTACCGTCAGTTTCCATTGATCTGTAGCCCGTTTGTATATTGGTCTGTATTGTGAAATCTCTTTTTATGGTTAGTCATTATCTGTAATCTGTTATTTTGCTATGCTTTAGTGATTGATTGTCTTTTATTTAGTAAATAATAACCTTATTGATTTCTACAATCTTAATGTACATACCAACTGCAAGTGTCAATACTGAAGACTAAGGTCAATTTACTGTTGACTTGAGATACACTTTCAACAGTGTTGAAATTTGATTGCTACCATAGGTTGGTAAAGAGTTCTTGGGAAACATAATAACGATAACCAGCTTCACGTTGTTCAACACAAGTCCAACATATCGTTTAAAAAAATAGAGAATAATGAAATATAGAGTCAACGTTAAACAAGTCTGACATATTCCACCTTGTGATTCGTGTGCACTTGGGTAGGGTGACAACTCACATTGTAATTGGGCGATCGATTTGGACCAAGTTACGCCAGGTGGCTTGTCCCATTATTATCAGGGTATCTCAAACGTTCATTACTTGATCATCGACACTTTTCATACTTTATTGTTGAGAACCCGGAACCTGGAAAGCTTTACAACTCCTCCTATTTTCCAAAATATGTTTAGAAAGATAAAATATAATATTCTAAACACCTGTTTGGACTCTTTACTCCTATACTCGTTATGTATAAATTAAAAGCTTATAAACTCTACGTCGTGCCTTCCTTAATAATGCCTCCAAAGATCGAAACGTTCAAAGCTCGAATGTTCTGTCAATTTTCAATTTAAACTCCATAGTTAGGTGAGCGTTCCATCTACCTAAACAGTTCCAGTGGGAAACAATGTTGAAAGATGAGTGAAGTGTCACCTGGAGCAACCAGGATACAGCTATACATCATGTTTCAGACCTAGCTGCTGTATTATGAATTTACTTTTTGTAACAGTTGCCAGATATGGACTATACTTATCTCTAACCACATGACGATGCATGTTGACATCCTCAAAAGAAAAACAACAACACACTGGTGGATGTAAGACGTTTGTATTCAGCAAGACACTGGTATTGCCATTGCATATTCTTCTTACATTTGTGACAAAATTGTTAATGACGTCGTTCACAAATGAACCTGTACTTGTGATCGCAGGGTGCATCATTCCACCTGTACTTAAATGATCGAGGCAAGGTCATGCAATGTTCGTTACCCTTGTAATTATCAGGTTGACCTGGCGGCCACCCCCTGTACCCTAGTTTCTTCGCCAAAGGGCGCTCCCAGGTGAAGATTCCCTCTGCTCTCAGGTCAGTGCCACCGATGTAGAAGGTACCGCCTAAACACTCACCATAAAAAATGCCAATCAGACAATCATGATTATGTTAACTGTTTGTAATCTTACGTTGGCCATTTATTGTTGCTACACACAGAATGCTATACAAGAGTCTAAGCAATTTGCCAGCAGAGAAAAGGTGCCTGAAGATCTATTAGTGTTGCACACTAGTACTTTATACTCATCATTGTAATGTCATAATAAGGAGCTGTATGGCTGATAAAATAATTTGTGAAAGAGAACAACATAATTTTTGGAAGCACACTACCTTTGCCATGTCGGAGCAGGTAACTCTTGATCAAAGTATCTTCAGTCTTCCTTTCGATGACAGCCAAGCGACTTCCGAAAAACAGGCAGAAGGACTGAAAAGGTATAATACTGTCGTATTGCGGTTTGATCAAAACATGGAAAAGGTTCAACTTTGGATAGTATTTCATAAGAGCCAAAAAAGAAGTGAGAGTTGGCACACAAATTAAAAGCACATATATCCTCACATCGAAATCAGACCAGCTCCCATATTTAAATTCAAATCATCGGCGAAGAGAATGAAATCTAAGTGACGACACCAAACTAATCATTAAGTTGGGACACTATCATTAACGCGTCTGTCGTGTTTTCAATAATCGACGTAGATAAAACATTACACTTTTGAGTGAGTGAGTGATTTGAAATTGAAAGTGACGTCGGCAGTATTTGAGCCATACCGTGACTTTGAAGACTCATTAAAAAGCTTCAACGTTATAACACCCGCCAACAAAGGACAATATCACTGATATAGATTTAAAACTAGCATGCAACTTAACAAGGTTATCACTATTAAGGTATGTGCGAAATGATACAGGCTTTAGAGCACCAGCAGCTGAAGGTAGATCACCATTCCAGTAAAATGGGCACTAACAAATTGGGTTTGGAGAGAGGAGCCAGTCATTTTACGATACTTATAAATATCCCCGTCGATGTCATGGCCACGAAACAATCTCAGTGAATAATGATATCCTTCCGATTTATAACAGATGCAATGTGTATTCAAATATTTGTCATTCAATTTAGTTTGCTTAAAACAACCATAAGATAAAGGAGAACTAATCATATTATAAGTATCCATCATTAATGTTAATCTGAAATATCAATCTCTTGTCATTTAAAGATCACCACCGACGTTTGAAATCTAAGATAACTCCAAGGGGAACTGAGCATATATGTCACAGCTGACCCATACCTTTAAAGTATTTGAGTGAGTGAGTGAGTTTAGTTTTACGCCACACTCAGCAATGTTCCAGCTATATGGCAGTGGTTGGTAAATAATCGAGTCTAGACCAGACAATCCAGTGATCAACAGCATGAGCCTCGATCTGCGCAATTGGGAACCGATTACATATTTCAGCCAAGTCAGCAAGCCTGACCACCCGATCCCGTTGGTCGCCTCTTAAGACAAGCATGGGTTACTGAAGGCACATTCTAACCCGGACCATCACGGGTCTTTGAAGTATTTGAAACTTAATATGTCCACACGCATGGATAGAATCACATTTGTTGCTGTGTAATGTGATTCTTTTACGATTGAAAAATCTATGTAGGTTAGCAAAACATGTGCTCTTTCAAATGACGATAGGAAACATATCTATTTAAGAAAACATGAACAACCTACATTGGCTCCAGCGAAGTCAGCACTGTTGGTAGAGAACAGGTAGCATGATCGACCGAGGCTAACAAACCCAAGAGGACATCTTGCCGCTGAAATGAACATTGTTTTTGAGAAATAGACATATGAGCCTGCTTTGTATAAATACATTTACTGAGAAATATTAGCAGATTATTTGGTATAATATTGGTACTAATATAGTATTTTGATTCAAACTCAAGTAAAGCATGATGAGTTGCGAGATAAGGGTGAAGCGCAGGAGTTTGAGGCACATGATATCCACACATGCCGGGACAAAGATGGCTGGCTACTTGTACAGCAAGATAAGAGAACGGCTCTGCAGGACGGGACCGTGCACCGTTCGCAGGATTATGGCGACACTGAACAGACGCTTAGGATCACTAGATCGGAACGCATGGAATGTGTATGTTGCATATTTTAAATCTGTTTATCTGGTGTATTTTGCGACACGACGGTTTGTCTTTTGCAGTTGGTGCCAATGCTACCCAGAGCAACGGTTTAAGTATCTCTGTGCACTTAGTGGTTAACCATGGTCTCTTCAGTGTTTAAGCACGAGTACGGAGACTTTCAAATACGCCAATATACTTCATGAAGTAAACCGCAGCTACAGAGACGCTGATTACTGGATCCGTTCACATGTGCAACAGGCAATGTGGTTATGCTTGTAGGCGGAATTATGTGTATTCTCCGCACATAACAATCACTTTACATCAGTTTGTTTTGAATTTGTAAATACGAGTTTACAAATAAGAACAAAGGAGTGTAAAGTTGCCCATTACGAAAATATTACCGCAAGTCCTTTATGTGTCGTTAATATTTGCTAAACATGTGATTACATTGTGAGTACTACAATCAGGGACATAATGATAAACTTTGACAACTGAATAAAGATGAGAATATTATTGATATTCAGCAATGTGTTTGGTCGATTTTTTTATTGTTCCTGTCATATCAGGAAGAGGAAGATTAACACAACCTGTAAAACTATCCCTACAAACCGTGCACATGGGCTACATTCATCGCAGCCATGATCTGCACAAGTCGCTTGCATACCATTACATAACACACATTGTATCATAAGCTACACGCACTGTCTCAAAGAAGTAGCCTCATTATACCATAAGCTACATACACTGTACAAGGAGTTACACACATTGGTTTCATCGAAGTCTCATTGCACCGTGAGCTACACACATTGCACCATGAGCTACACACATTGAACCATGAGCTACAGACATTGCACCATGAGCTACACACATTGTACCATGAGCTATACACATTGTACCATCAGCTACACACATTGTAGCATGAGCTACACACATTGCACCATGAGCTACACACATTGAACCATGAGCTACATACATTGCACCATGAGCTACACACATTGTACCATGAGCTATACACATTGTACCATCAGCTACACACATTGTAACATGAGCTACACACATTGCACCATGAGCTACACACATTGAACCATGAGCTACATACATTGTACCATGAGCGACATACATTTTACCATGAGCTACACACATTGCACCATGAGCTACACACTTTGTACCATGAGCTACACACATTGCACCATGACCTACACACATTGTACCATGAGATACATACATTGTACCATGAGATACATACATTTTAACCTGAGCTACACACATTCACTACAAAAATTACTTGGTTTCCTGAAATCTGGAAACCATCCGTATACTGGGTAAGTGGGGAATCCAGTTGGTTTCCATTCACTGAAACTGAGTAACTGAGTTTCCAACTAGATTCCATTTTGGATTCTTTGATTTTTGCATTTCAGTAAATGGAAACCAACAAGAAACTAAGGTTATAGGTTTCTTGTTGGTTTCCATTCCTGGAATTTGCAATTGAAGGTTTCATGAAATTGAAACCAACATAAAACCAGAAAATGTAGTTTCATGTTGGTTTCCTGTGCACTGTTTTGAACTGAGTAACTTAAAATTTGCAAGTATTTGGCATGAAGTTGACCATCCTGGCATCCAGTTGGTATCCATTCATTGAAACTGGGTAACCTAGTTTCCTAATAGAATCCATAATGGATACTGTAAACTTATAGTTCCGGTAATGGAAACCAACAAGAAACTATGGTCATGTGTATACTCTTGGTTTCAATTCCTGAAACCTAGTTTCGAAGATTAACTACTTTCATATCATATTACATTATCAGTAATTGCGTAGAATAATTATGAGGTCTTAAAATTCAAAATGAATATGCCTGGGGAAGGAACAGCAGATTAACATTTGAAAGAGTACGTAATTTGTAAGATTGCTTAGATGAACAAGAAAAGGTTACCCCAAATATTTGTTGACGCATTGATCAACTTTATATTTACCTGTTTTTGTTGAACCAAGATGTTGAGTGTGTGGAAAGAACTGATACTGTGGGACACCAAATCACTATACTGTTATAATTTTGATATATATGACACATGAAGTGTTTCACTTGTGTTCGACAATAACTGTGAAGTCTGACAAGCTTAGATGAAAAATCCTCAGTTATCAAATTTCATTATTTATTACAATCTTAATTGTTATTAAATACCAAGTATTTATCGTCATTTCATATCATGGGGAATTTTGAAAATCTAAATAGATGGATGATATTCTACGATGAGTAACAATTTCCACTGTAGTAATGAAAAAGCTTAAACGTCAAAACGTGAAATTTGAGGGAAAACTCGGTTTAATTATTTTTGCTTTAGAATGTGAAAGGGTATAAGCATTTAGGAAGTTTAGTATAATGTAATTCAAACAATTGTCAATCCGGTACATACATTACGGATTTCTCAATAACTAGAATATCAGGGAATTGTACTATGAATTGAGGTTGTGAGTAATGTTTACCATTAAAAGCATTTAAAGTTAGTATAAGCTTTGACAGTGAGTTCAAGTACTTGACAAACAATCAGTGTCATGTCATTTGTATGTCGAGGTCTGTGTGTCGGCTTCCTTGGGGTTGTCTCGTCTTAACGGGCACCTATTATCAAAATTGAATTGCTGTAGAACATGCTGTAAAATTCACAACAACTCAGTGAAACCTGTTAATCCACGTTCACAACAACTCAGTGAAACAATACAAACCCTACATATACAAATACAAATACATGTAAAACAAGTCTAGACGAGATACGGGAAAATATTCGTTCACTCTTTAATCACACTTTCTTGTTCTTAGCTGCCCTTAGTTTCGTATCACTGAAAACAAAGCATAACAACTTTCGTAAGTAAAAATCAAACTTAATATATACTATTATTCAATTATTAATACCCGTCTACGGAATCACCGTCTACGAACCAGTCTGGGTTACGAATCCACCGCGTCTACGAACTGGTTCAGTCTACGAAATCACCGTATCCCTCAGGTACAGTGTAAATTTCTTGAATTAAGCAATAGCTCATGTTATGTGTAACGTTTTATGTACATAAGTAGCTAGGACAATAAATATGAAATTAAAGTTATAGACTTGATGGAACTCGATATGCAATTGCGTGTCGAAATGTTGGCAAGAGATATGGCTTCCTTTACTTAGTCAACTCAAGAACTCGATTGTGATTTCGATCAGGTCACATACGACTAAATGGTTCATTATCGTAATGTATGAAATATTGTCTTTGCAAGAACAATATGAACCACAAATATATCCAGCAATGTCACGACTCAAGATAACTTCCAAACGTATTTAGAAGTATTCGAATATTATTGCAAGAAATCCAATGATTGGAAGTTCTATTTTAAAGTTTGTTATTGAAAATTGCTTTTGATATTTGTACCACTGAAAACAATTCAGTGGGGGATAGTGAGTCATTTTGCATTTATAGGAATTCTCTGACCATTTTTAGTGCATGGTTAGAGTGAAGTTTCAAAATTCTTTGTCTAGTTATTAGAGTTACAAGACAGCCTATGACAAAAAAATCGACAATATTTTTCAGCCAACTTTTAAGACGATATTTATCATGATATTATAATGCTGTTGAGTGGATAAATTGTCAACACACTATTTTTGGAAACTGTTTTTTAATAGGTTTTCAAGTCAGTATAGGATAGATTACTGATGTATGAGGAAATTTAAGTTAATCATCTGACGTAAACAATTTTACACTTAGAATGTCAAGATATTTAACTCTGAATGAAGATTTGTGGATTTTGTTAGATCCACAAAAGAAGTTTGCAAAGAGAGTTGGATATATAGAACGTTTAATAGGATATGTTGGGGATACATTGATGTACATTGTCAACCTAAAATTATATGAACTTGTTAATTTTGCTTCTTTTGATATTAGCATATCTACACCTTGCAAATTGATATTTATTCTTCTATTTTCATGCCTTATTGTTATCAAGAGTACAATATCACTTAGAAAGTTCCTGCTTTTTCCCTTAATTTCTATATTTCCAGCATTCCATTGGGGCAGTGTTGGAAAAACTGAAGATGACTAACTGATCTTGACCTGCAACAGGTATGTGTAATCCAAACCCTTCTGTAAATGATGTACATTGTACATAAAATTATCCAAATAATGTAAATCCTATGAATCAGAAAAATACATACAAATTACACAACCACTATTTACGTAACTTCCAACTGAAAATATTTTCCACTTATACACATTTCCTTTCAGAAGCAGTTTGGCGGTTTTGGACGAACAAGAGGGTTCGTTCACCTAGAAGACAAAGAACTGGGAAAGCAGACTCAGATGTGTAAGTAAATTCTAACCGTTCTCAATTCTAATCTTACACAAGTTTAAAATTTAAGGAAAACCTTATTTGAAAAAAAATCAAGTTAATGTAATTTCTTGAAAATGTACACTGATATTCCAAAGAACTTTCAAAATAACCACTGTTTAATACGTGCAATGTATAATTAGAAATATGCAGCTAAAAGAGTTATAAATAGTACATAGTAAAGCGCCAATGTACATTACGGTTTGGTTTGGACATATTTCACCTTGCACACATCAATTAACAATTTATTAACAATACCCCACTAAATAGTAGCTGCAAACACATTGCCAATAGCAGTATGAGATATTAGTTATGGAGGTC